TGGTCACGGAACTACTTTCATCATATGCTATTAATAAGAAAAGTGATGACATTATTTACATAGCTCATTGGCGCATTAAGTAGCATTTTATATGCAATCGCCACGTTTTCACATCAGTTCAGTCGTAAAGGGAGAGAAAAAAAACACGTTATCATCCGCCTAAATAATAACTTTTCTCGAAAAATAAAACACCCAATCACGTTCTAAAAAAAAGTCAAAGCATACCACAATTTACATCCACGACCCGGCATTACATTCAAGGAACTTTTTGCATGAATCACAAGGGTCAAATGATACTTCGTGAAAGAGATGTCGACGCCCCCTCCCCCCCAACCCTCGTCCGTCCGCGCCTTCTGACCGTGCGCGAACGTTTTTTATCAAACACAAAGGTGCCGCCAGCCTTGCCGTGCCGTGCGGGAGAGAGGGAGGGAGGGTGGAAGGCAGTGACCCTCCGTGAACCGCGGCCCCATCCCGTTCACGGCTGTTTTCCCCGATCGTTCTGAGGCCCCCATTGGGATCAGTGCCTAGCAGGCGCAAGCGGACCTGACAGGTCATAAAGCTGAAATGGACAACATTATCTCCTAGAAATCACCGGCTCAGGGTGAAACATGGAAACAAAGCTGGAAGCAATTTCAACTCTGGGAAGATTCAATTTCTCCGCTCATATGAAACCCAAATATGCTGTTATCTGCTGCCTTGTTGACGCTACAAGCCATGCACGAATCTGCCCACAAATCCTCTGGACTAAAGAGTAATTTAGCTTCTAAGAGTTGGCAATAATGAAACTGTCCTAGAAATAAAAGAATGAGATCTGAATCCTTTTCATGTGGGACAAGGTCACATAGAGCTGGATACAGGTTACCTTCAGAGATGGCTTGCCCGCGGGCTACAAGATAGACCCGGCTCCCTGGAGGGCATGTGGCATGGAGAATATGTCAACGTGAAATGCGCTTGAGATGTATCCGTGCAATAAATCCAACAGCATATTCAATTGTGGGTACATATTCCAATATTGGATGTGTCTATTGGATATGCCTTTGAGAAATGTCCACGCGTGCGTATCACAGGGGTAAAGCCATGGGCTCTATCTCGAACGTATCGTTTGTGACTTACCCGTGCCGAACGGCACCTTTGTGAGCCGTGTGGGATACTGTGCGTGGACTATGTGCATGGGACCTTGTGTCTTATATGCTAAATATAAAATGTTGCCCATTTGTCAATCCATTGCGAGATGAAGGCCTCCCCATGCTCTGATGGTCATAGGGGATGTTTAGCCATACTTCCCTACACTAGTTAAAGCCGGTTGTGGTTATCAGGGCTGGTTGAGATATCACTCGCCACTAATGTTGGCTGGGAGTTGAACCATGTTCGGAGCACATTGCAAAAACTGCATAGTTTAACACGGAGGCTCTCGCGACAAATATCATCCATAATAGAGGTTCTTTTGGTTTAGATTGTGTAAATAAATGAATGTGTCGTTAAACCCGCCACCACCGGACACAGCCAACTAGTAAGGTTTGTCACGTAAACAGAACATGCCAATTTGTTACTAGAACAGCACACCGGTGTGTTGGAGGCCAAAGCCACAACATTTACAATCTGAGACCGACGTTTCACCAGTAATTACAACTAGCTTTATCAGGCAACAGACAGGTGGTGCAATCTAACACAAAAAAACGGTATTATGGAAAAACCACGTCACTTAATTTTTCCAATAACACACACACACACGCACAGATAAAAAAAACTGGTAAATTAATACATAATAACAGTCGGATGCTTTGTCTTTGACTGGAAATAACTAAATAAATATGCCTTATCCATCTGCCCGCCTTTGTCACCATGTGTATTAATGATAATAAATAATAATTTACAGCCTCCCTGTCAATCCACTGATGGGTTCATCAAGCAGCACGTGAACTACTGCTCCAGCGTCCCACACTACAGAAACCAGGCATAAATTGGGGAGCACTACACTAACTGCCAATTAATCCACGAGCAGCAGCACATGCAAGCCCTTTATTTATGGCAGCCTCACCAGGCCAATAAACCCCATCTGCAACGCCCCGTCGGATTACGGCACGGCCAGCGTTTACAAGCGAATGTGCAGCTCGAAAATTAAAATAGGGGACGTGTCAAAATAAATACAAACATCGCTAAAAAAAAATGTGCATCACTGCGCCGCCACGGCGGAAGGGTGGTGAGGATTTTTTTTCTTTTTCGATTTTTTTTCGATTTTTTTCTCACTTCTCGGTGCCACGAACTGTCGAAACTTTCCATTTCAAAACGCTGATTCTTGCTCCCTGCAATATATACGCGTCGGCTCCTCGCGACGTAGCAAATTGCACATGAGATGCGAGTTTAATAAGTGATGATAAAAGGCATCCCTGCGTATGGCTACTGTACACTCCCTTGTGGGCCACACACTCTTGACTAAAATATCCCAGCGAACGGCTGTTTTTTTTGAAAATCAAAAGCCTCTTTGCAATTTCGGAGAAACCTTCATGGGTTTTATCTTTTCATATCGATAGACGGCGCATGACGACAACGCTTTTGTGTACAAACGCAACGCAACCCAATCACCGCCGGCTTATTGCCCCGTGGCAAGAGAATCGCTGTGGGATTCCCGATGCCGCGACCTGTCTGAGTGGAGTTGCAGGATTTCTAAGCCGGCAAGACGTCTCGAGGAATTCTAGGCGCGTGTGTCTCCGTGCGATTGAAATGTAAAGTATCGACGTGCGTGATGTAATGACCAGATCTTCAAACGACTGAGATGCATCGTACGAGCGGCGCGCAGTGCTGCCTGCTATCGATGTATACGATCCCCGCCACCCTGTGTCTCCATCAGGCACTTGCTATTCAAAATGAAGGGCCCCCACTGATATATTTATCTACAAAGACACACCGAAGAACCTTGATATTATTTAACAGGGTGTTTCTATACACATTTTTCCCTTTTCGTAAAGAAACATTTTTTGGAATGAAAATCATTTACTTGATTATAATTACAATATGGGTGCAGTGGGTGGTATCCAGCGATCTGAGTTCAATTTAATGGCACATCGGTGGCGAGTGATATCGGAAACGGTCCTGGGACTCCCCACCCAACTTCACCAACCAGTTATTGACCAGCATGGTGAAGTACGGTTAAACGAGCCCCTTGACTGACACAGCATGGGGAGGTCTTCAAATAGTGGGGAATTGACAAGGGCTGAAAAAAAACACCATAATACAGAGTAGAGTGACAATAATACCTGTCCTTGGTAGTCTTTGTATGAGATTAGATAGCTTACGTGACACCTACTAGGCGTGCCTGAGTATTACCCAGAGACACAATAAACGATGGTTGTCATTCTCCCTACATCCACACTCTCTTCGGTTATCTCTTTGTTACGATGTTATCCACATATAGTCATATCAAGAATTTTAAATGCCCTTTATTTATCCTGAAGAGTTACTCTTTGGTTCTTTCGGTAAAGTCACGTAGAAAATAAAATCAAATAATAATAGAATACGACGTTTCGGTTGCAACACAAGCAACCATAATCAGGTAAGAATGAATGATAAAACACAGAAACAACACAAGGCAGACACACATGCAGAGAGAGACACACACAAAGACACACCGAGCGTGACACACACCAAGGAAACACAGACACGGAAACAACATAGGCAGACACACATGCAGAGAGAGACACACACAGAGACACACAACCAAGACAAACAGGAAGAGGTTAATTTAGTATCAAAACAGTTTTTTTTTTTATGAAGCCCCTGCAATGGGATGTTTGACCAGTTATGTGAATGGGCGATTGGAATGTGGGAATTAACTGTGGTACCCGAAAACAAAGATCCAAATGGATAGATTCAATAATTAATTGCTGTACTGTCATCTCCTGGCCATTGTGCAGTGCAAACTTACAGAACAGGGTAATTCCCAGGAAGTCTCCCATCAAAGCACCAACCAGTCTCAACCTCTGCTTAGCTTCCGTGATGCGACACGATTCGGCACATTCAGGGTGATTCGTTGTGGAGGCAACGTTTGCAGTTTGCAACCATGCCCAGATCGCAAAAAAATAAGCCTGCTCTCAACCAATCAATCTTTATTTCACGCGCCAAATATCACCCTCAATAAAGTAGGCATCGGTGATCCTTACAACAGAACGGGAACGGCACACAGGAGGGGCGTAGAGCAACAACAGTGACACAAAAAGAAACCCAGTTTAACACGTAGTACGATTTTGCGACCAATATCATCCATAATACAGGGTTTTTTTTGGATTATATCGCGTAAATATATAAATGTGTGTCGTTAAACCCGCCACCACCCGACACAGCCAATTAGTGAGGGTTGTCACGTAAACAGAACGTGCCAATTCCTTACTAGTACAGCACACCGGTGTGTTGGAGAGTCAAGCCACAACATTTACAATCTGAGTACGACGTTTCGCCGGTAATGACAACGAGCTTCATCAGGCGACAGCCAGATTTGTGGAGAAGTCCATCTGTCATCACATCTACTGCACGGGGTAGTGAGGTCTCTTCATCCGGTCGTGGGATTGACAAAGGGCGCAGTACATTTCGCACACACTTAATGCAGCCCGAATTAGTGACGGAGGGAGTTTAAAAGGGTACAGCCCTTGCAATTTCTTGCTCATGCCAGTGCTGGCAGAAATGCCTTCGCGAGAGAGCTCTCCCTGGACAGCCCCTCACAAGGGGATTTTAACAGACTCTTCAACACTGGCCCGATGCCTCGGAAGAGGTGGGAGTGCCCTACACTTTACCCAACCACGCATAACCTGCAGATTGACCGTGGCTCCATCCATGTATATTCCTGTGCGGACAGAGGCGGGGGAACATGAGACACTCGCCCAATTGCTTCGACTCCCTGCCGGCAATTCGGAACCGTCGACCTCTGGCTCGCAAGCCGAGCGCACGAACCGCCGCACCACGGCAGCATCGCGTTGAATGAATGCATGAATAAATGATGGTCGTCTCACCAGAACACGATGATTCGGTTGTTTCCTCTCCTCCAAAAGCAGCGGAGCGACTTTGCCCAGGCAGGGTACTTAGTGTCCTGAAGCATCATGTCGGTGACCTGTGGGGGAAGGCCCAAGGGCAGGTCCAGGAAACCATGTGAGCGGAAAGCATCAAGGACAAAGATCCTCCATATGGCCTTAACAGACTGTTGAGTCAAGTGCTGTTTAGCGAGCACCTAATTAAGGCTGGAACAGCACACAAAGGGGTGGTTGGTTAGCACCCCGCCTGGCCGCCTTTGTCTCCCTCGTGGCCATGTTCAACCATTGCACCGGGTACTCACTTGAGGCTGAGTCAACGTAGGGGAGGCCCAGGACCGGTTCGGATAATCGTCACTGGTATTAGACGTGAGCGGGTAATCGAACTCGGGCTGCCAGATTCATAGCGCAGCGAGCTAACCGCAACACACACACGCAGGATGCCTTCACAAGCACACATTTGTATTCATTTTTAGGCCGCAGTAGCTCCGGTGAACCTCGAGCTTGTCACAGGCCGAAATAACTTCCACGATAAATAACGAAGGAATAACTAAACGAAAAAATAAATGAAACAAAAATGATTAAGTGCCATCTTTGTGGGTTTTATAGAATATGTCTGTACTAAACTGTTAGGCCCCATGGTGTCAGATCAGAATAAAAATAATATTATACTGGAGGAATCCGATGAGCTATGAAGCTCTTTTTCACAGATGTCCTGTCGGGGCGGGTAAGAATGTTGCAACACCAAACAGTACAAAAACACGATAGTAGTGAAAACTATAAGAAACAAATCAACCTGAACACATACAAATAAAACCAAACCATCCCCATCCTACCAAGCAGAGCCCACTGAAGGTATCAACTTATTTTTCAGATATGACCTGGCCACAAATGATAGCTCAACAAAGTGGCCCATCACTTGGACATTAATGGCACCAAAAAAAGCAAGATAAAAAAAATTGCAGGTAGCCCAGCAAAATTGTCTTAATTGGCCCACATCTTGCTTGGTGAGACTCGGGCAAGTCGAAAATCGGGCCAGAGTTTTGCCTGCTTCAACAAACAAATGTGGCCAAAAGGCCCCTTGTGTTTAAATTGTGATTGGTGAAGGAGAACCCCCTTCACAGTTTGTGTATGAATGTTCAAAAGAAGTCTTAAGATCTGTTTTGGCCCATCTGCACGATGATTGCAATGGAAACCCTTTCCCGACTCTGATAGGGTATTTTCAAACAACATCACATTGGTTAGCTGCGGTAATAAATCACGAACGCATTTACATTCACGATCGTGAATTATTGATCTAGGAAAGCCCCATTGAGTCTCAAGCCACTATTTCAGAATGGTTATGTTTTGAGATGCCTGGCCAATACCATTCTTGAATATTTAAAACAAAAACTAAATTTTATTTTCTTATTTCACCAGGCAAAGCCCACTGAGCTATGTGGCTCTTTTTCAGATGCAACCTGGACACAAATGATAGCTCAACCAAATGGCTTATCACGTGGAAATGTATAGCAGCCAAATACTCAAAACATGTTCCTAAATTTTGATTTAAAGCTTTCGTGACTGCAGGGATTCATATTCTTGGTTCATTAGGTAAAGTCACGTAGAAGGGAAACAATAAATAATAAAAATATAAAACAATAAAAATCTCACAACGTTTCGACTGCAACACAAGCAATCATCATCAGGTGTGAAAACCACAGAAAGGAAATTTGAAAAAAGTGGCGGGTTTTTTTTCTAAAATTTTCTTGCTGTGGTTTTCACACCTGATGATGATGATTGCTTGTGTTGCAGTCGAAACGTCGTGAGAATTTAATTGTTTTGTATTTTTATTATTTTATTGTTTCCGTTCTACGTGACTTTACTCAAAGTACCAAGAATATGTTCCTAAATGTCGAGGGAAAAACCGGAGAAGCCAGAGAAAAATGCAAGCGACCACCACGGAGAGAACATGCAAACTCCAAATATACAGGCGTCAGGGTCAAGATCGAACCCATGACCTCCTGTTTTACCAGGCGAGGTAGTTAACATCTCGCCACCATGGGAGAAAACTACGGTGCCCGGATAAAACCCACACGTACGAGGAGGTGGCACTCAACACGGCAATCTCAAGGCCACCTCGCAGCCTCACGCCTAGAACCCCTGGCAAGCCATCATGATCTCCTTTCCAAATACTAGACTGGGCTCAATTACGCTTAGATCTAAAAACCAGAAAATATAGGCTGCATTTATGATGGGTGATTTGGTCACATGGCATTCGAGACAATAATGTTCTCAGAATCTCTGTGACTGGCCTCTCTTAGACACATTCATCGCGAGCTTTGACCTTTTGACACGAAGAACAATCCCAGGGTGAGACATCGCCATCCGTGAAAACTGGCGAATCAGTTGACGAGATGCTTCAGGTCAGAATATGTAGCGATGGCGCGCTGACGACAAAGCACTCCAACCTTGGCCTCTGATTTTTTTTTTTACCCAAAAAGCAATCCTGGGTGAGTTATCGTAGCCAGAGACCATTCCTGAGAGTCATGTCAGTTCTGGTACAGCGATTAAGCGGCTATCGTCAGGACAGTAAAACAAACTGGGGGGTGGGGGAGAGTAACTTAACAATCACGTAACCTTGACTACAACACTCCTCCACTTCACCTGTGGCAAACACATTAGCCGAATAAAAAGGGAATTGTTGTTATTTTTTTTCTTGTGAAGTTGCATGAAGATGGAGCTCTATAGTAACATGCACTCTGGTACAGAAAATGGAGGGTCCGTTTAAAAAACTTTAGAAGACATGATCCATTTTTGTTTTTGCTTTCAAAACGGGGTTGACATTCTCCTGCCGATGTTTTTCTCGTCTGTCGGCGTTGTGAATAAGTGAGTTCAAAAATTGAATGAGGACCCCTGCGATCGACACTGCTTGCACTGAATTTATGTGTGCACATATAAATATATACACGTAAACACGAATTCACATTTATGCTCACCCAGGTCCCGCTGGCTATAGGGATTATTGCAACTCAGCGGGATCTCGTGTTGGGAAACGAATAAGGAAGGGAAACCACCTTTGGAAATGCGACGACGTAGGTTTACAGCCGTGAAGACCTACGCAGTGGCATGCACCAACGACGAGCAGCGGCCTATTATAGAAATCTGCTGATGAGGCCCAGGAGGACAAAACCGGTCCAAAAAGTGCTAATTTTAAATGAAAGTCTCTGGATAATATTTGTCTAAGGAGGGAAGAGGTCGATGTATTGCTTGTAGATTGAGACTCAGAGCAGAGGTATCTTTACATATACACATATATTATGGAACTGTGCTTTTCTTCCGTAGCTTTTCGGTGCATATTCACGTTGTACCGCGTGTTTTTTTTTGGCACGGCGTCTGACGTTCCTCTCCGTGTGCTCGGAGCATCTTCGGCAACTGAATAGAATATAACCGGGGAGCTTCTACGCACATGGCGGCAAGCAGCCCTCAGCAGCGCGCGGAGCGAAACGTCGGACATCGCGCCGAGCGACATTTGGCACGACCTTGAAAGCACGTCGGAGAAGATCCACGTGTGGAGCGGATCAACTCGTCCGTTGGGAAGCAGCACTCACCATCCACGCCGTCACGGAGTCTCCCATCCACGTTCCCAGGGCGGCTCCTCTCATGAAGTTTTCATTCTTCAGCCCCATGTAATCGCTCACGATGTATTCCCTGGCACGCGGGCAGAGAAAACGGGGCCCGCACGTCACCGTCGAGGCCCGCGGAACGACGCGGCTGCCGGCGGTCGAGAAAAAGCGGCGAGCCCGGCGATGTCGCCCGCCCGCGCCCGCCCGTCGCGTCTGGCCGGGGAAAGGAAAGGTGCATCCGCCGCGGCTGTTTTCGATGAGTGGACGAGCGCCCACCAGGCAGAGTGCTCTCGGGAGGAGCGCTGGCACCCCCTGGATGGGTGTCAATTGTTCGGAGGCAACAAAAAAAGAAAGGACGTTAAAATTTAGTCGGCAAAAGTGCTGTGAGATAACCTTCTCCAGCAGCGGATCGATGCAACCGAGATGTACGTGTGCAATGTATTGCAAATGTCAGGAGTACATAAATTATAAAAAGCGTTTACGTGTGTGTGTATATAGTACAATGCTATTTTTTATGAATCTGCCTAAAGCACTCCGCTGTTCTCACCTGGGTATGAAGTGTTTATTAAACATGAAACATTTAGTATATTTTTGACAAACCTCAGTGCGAATATTTACCCCAGCTTCCAGCCTCGCTACGAATTATGTTCTCCTTGACATCGCCCAACAATTTTGGCATAGAGGTCCACCATAACCAAGGTTATTGAAAAACAATGACAAGCAGACAACAGTTGAAAAAGCATAAAACTATTGTGATGGAATATAGTCAGGTACAAGTGTCGAGGAAGGCACTCACAACACGGAAGAGATTGAAAAGTAAAATAAAAATGACAGTGGACTGCATTGCAAAAAACAATTTAAGCAAGCGAGGAAAAACAAGAGCAAGCAGAGCAGGCTCCTGAACAGCGGTCAACGTTAAAATGACCGTGCGATGGCATCAACAGAGGTCAACTTTGTAATGACTGTGCCAAGACACCAACACAGGTCAACGTTAAAATGACCGTGCGATGGCATCAACAGAGGTCAACTTTGTAATGACTGTGCCAAGACACCAACACAGGTCAACGTTAAAATGACCGTGCGATGGCATCAACAGAGGCCAACTTTGTAATGACTGTGCCAAGACACCAACAGAGGTCAACGTTAAAATGACCGTGCGATGGCATCAACAGAGGTCATCTTTGTAATGACTGTGCCAAGACACCAACAGAGGTCAACGTTAAAATGACCGTGCGATGGCATCAACAGAGGTCATCTTTGTAATGACTGTGCCAAGACACCAACACAGGTCAACGTTAAAATTACCGTGCGATGGCATCAACAGAGGTCATCTTTGTAATGACTGTGCCAAGACACCAACAGAGGTCAACGTTAAAATTACCGTGCGATGGCATCAACAGAGGTCAACTTTGTAATGACTGTGCCAAGACACCAACAGAGGTCAACATTAAAATGACCGTGCGATGGCATCAACAGAGGTCATCTTTGTAATGACTGTGCCAAGACACCAACACAGGTCAACGTTAAAATGACCGTGCGATGGCATCAACAGAGGCCAACTTTGTAATGACTGTGCCAAGACACCAACACAGGTCAACGTTAAAATGACCGTGCGATGGCATCAACAGAGGTCAACTTTGTAATGACTGTGCCAAGACACCAACAGAGGTCAACGTTAAAATGACCGTGCGATGGCATCAACAGAGGTCAACTTTGTAATGACTGTGCCAAGACACCAACACAGGTCAACGTTAAAATGACCGTGCGATGGCATCAACAGAGGTCAACTTTGTAATGACTGTGCCAAGACACCAACACAGGTCAACGTTAAAATGACCGTGCGATGGCATCAACAGAGGTCAACTTTGTAATGACTGTGCCAAGACACCAACAGAGGTCAACGCTAAAATGACCGTGCGATGGCATCAACAGAGGTCATCTTTGTAATGACTGTGCCAAGACACCAACAGAGGTCAACGTTAAAATGACCGTGCGATGGCATCAACAGAGGTCAACTTTGTAATGACTGTGCCAAGACACCAACAGAGGTCAACGTTAAAATGACCGTGCGATGGCATCAACAGAGGTCATCTTTGTAATGACTGTGCCAAGACACCAACACAGGTCAACGTTAAAATGACCGTGCGATGGCATCAACAGAGGCCAACTTTGTAATGACTGTGCCAAGACACCAACACAGGTCAACGTTAAAATGACCGTGCGATGGCATCAACAGAGGCCAACTTTGTAATGACTGTGCCAAGACACCAACAGAGGTCAACGTTAAAATGACCGTGCGATGGCATCAACAGAGGTCAACTTTGTAATGACTGTGCCAAGACACCAACACAGGTCAACGTTAAAATGACCGTGTGATGGCATCAACAGAGGCCAACTTTGTAATGACTGTGCCAAGACACCAACACAGGTCAACGTTAAAATGACCGTGCGATGGCATCAACAGAGGCCAACTTTGTAATGACTGTGCCAAGACACCAACACAGGTCAACGTTAAAATGACCGTGCGATGGCATCAACAGAGGTCAACTTTGCAATGACTGTGCCATGGCATAAACAGAGGTCAACGTTACAATGACCGTGCAGCCAAGCATCATCTGCTTGGCCATGCCATTGTAAAGGCCAGCTTGAGGATGCAGCCAAAGGGGAACGTTTTTACCGACCTACCCAGCTCTCTCCCTCCGTGCATCGTCTCATCTCCCAGCTCCCTCCCTCCATGCATCGTCTCATCTCCCAGCTCCCTCCCTCCATGGATCGTCTCATCTCCCAGCTCCCTCCCTCCCTCCCTCCATGCATCGTCTCATCTCCCAGATCCCTCCCTCCATGCATCGTCTCATCTCCCAGCTCCCTCCCTCCATGCATCGTCTCATCTCCCAGCTCCCTCCCTCCATGGATCGTCTCATCTCCCAGCTCCCTCCCTCCCTCCCTCCATGCATCGTCTCATCTCCCAGCTCCCTCCCTCCATGCATCGTCTCATCTCCCAGCTCCCTCCCTCCATGCATCGTCTCATCTCCCAGCTCCCTCCCTCCGTGCATCGTCTCATCTCCCAGCTCCCTCCCTCCCTCCATGCATCGTCTCATCTCCCAGCTCCCTCCCTCCATGCATCGTCTCATCTCCCAGCTCCCTCCCTCCATGCATCGTCTCATCTCCCAGCTCCCTCCCTCCGTGCATCGTCTCATCTCCCAGCTCCCTCCCTCCGTGCATCGTCTCATCTCCCAGCTCCCTCCCTCCATGCATCGTCTCATCTCCCAGCTCCCTCCCTCCATGCATCGTCTCATCTCCCAGCTCCCTCCCTCCGTGCATCGTCTCATCTCCCAGCTCCCTCCCTCCATGCATCGTCTCATCTCCCAGCTCCCTCCCTCCGTGCATCGTCTCATCTCCCAGCTCCCTCCCTCCATGCATCGTCTCATCTCCCAGCTCCCTCCCTCCGTGCATCGTCTCATCTCCCAGCTCCCTCCCTCCATGCATCGTCTCATCTCCCAGCTCCCTCCCTCCGTGCATCGTCTCATCTCCCAGCTCCCTCCCTCCATGCATCGTCTCATCTCCCAGCTCCCTCCCTCCGTGCATCGTCTCATCTCCCAGCTCCCTCCCTCCATGCATCGTCTCATCTCCCAGCTCCCTCCCTCCCTGCATCGTCTCATCTCCCAGCTCCCTCCCTCCGTGCATCGTCTCATCTCCCAGCTCCCTCCCTCCGTGCATCGTCTCATCTCCCAGCTCCCTCCCTCCCTCCATGCATCGTCTCATCTCCCAGCTCCCTCCCTCCATGCATCGTCTCATCTCCCAGCTCCCTCCCTCCATGCATCGTCTCATCTCCCAGCTCCCTCCCTCCGTGCATCGTCTCATCTCCCAGCTCCCTCCCTCCGTGCATCGTCTCATCTCCCAGCTCCCTCCCTCCATGCATCGTCTCATCTCCCAGCTCCCTCCCTCCATGCATCGTCTCATCTCCCAGCTCCCTCCCTCCGTGCATCGTCTCATCTCCCAGCTCCCTCCCTCCGTGCATCGTCTCATCTCCCAGCTCCCTCCCTCCATGCATCGTCTCATCTCCCAGCTCCCTCCCTCCGTGCATCGTCTCATCTCCCAGCTCCCTCCCTCCATGCATCGTCTCATCTCCCAGCTCCCTCCCTCCATGCATCGTCTCATCTCCCAGCTCCCTCCCTCCATGCATCGTCTCATCTCCCAGCTCCCTCCCTCCCTCCATGCATCGTCTCATCACCCAGCTCCCTCCCTCCGTGCATCGTCTCATCTCCCAGCTCCCTCCCTCCATGCATCGTCTCATCTCCCAGCTCCCTCCCTCCATGCATCGTCTCATCTCCCAGCTCCCTCCCTCCATGCATCGTCTCATCTCCCAGCTCCCTCCCTCCGTGCATCGTCTCATCTCCCAGCTCCCTCCCTCCATGCATCGTCTCATCTCCCAGCTCCCTCCCTCCGTGCATCGTCTCATCTCCCAGCTCCCTCCCTCCATGCATCGTCTCATCTCCCAGCTCCCTCCCTCCATGCATCGTCTCATCTCCAAGCTCCCTCCCTCCGTGCATCGTCTCATCTCCCAGCTCCCTCCCTCCATGCATCGTCTCATCTCCCAGCTCCCTCCCTCCATGCATCGTCTCATCTCCCAGCTCCCTCCCTCCATGCATCGTCTCATCTCCCAGCTCCCTCCCTCCGTGCATCGTCTCATCTCCCAGCTCCCTCCCTCCATGCATCGTCTCATCTCCCAGCTCCCTCCCTCCGTGCATCGTCTCATCTCCCAGCTCCCTCCCTCCATGCATCGTCTCATCTCCCAGCTCCCTCCCTCCATGCATCGTCTCATCTCCCAGCTCCCTCCCTCCGTGCATCGTCTCATCTCCCAGCTCCCACCACCGCTCTCTTCCCACCACCAGGTGGAGGAAGAGGGTGGGTAGAGCCCCTTTTCGTTACAATTTGTTTTAGTGAAGGAACAGGCGACTTCGGCTCTGACGAGTGTGACCGTAACCACGGTTGCCAGAACCCCCTATTTCCCATAGCGCCTGTTGTATAGCCAACGGCGGCGGTTTTGCCAACCACGGCGGCTTTCAGGAACGTAACCCCCGCGGGTTGGCGAGGGGTTGTTGTGTATGTTCATGTGTATATGTTGCTACTGAGAGAGCACTGTCAGTAGAGACACAAGGACACCTTAAACGGTGTGGTCCGCACATCCATACAACGCTGTCTTGTCTGAAGACATTCTCACAGAGCGTGTGCCACGACTGTTGAACAACGGTCACGTGATTCTTGACTAATGCACACTTTGCTGAGATTAGAAAGCACCGTGCATTTGAATGCTGCAGGCTTGCGTAAATCAATAATGTAGCCTTGTGTAAAACAAACCGAAAGAACCAAAAAGTAATATTTGTGGAGTATAGCATGTCATGTGCGCACGACAACTCTGTAACAATTCAGCCCCACAGAGATTTGGGGACTTGTTGTAAATCGTGGTTGTGATTTAGTTCGATAATGGGTTATTTTTTATTAATTTGTTTGCACAATTTTATATAATTTCCTTTGTATCGTTTCTTTTTTTGTGTGTGTGTGTCTCGTCCGTGTGGGTTTGTTTACACAATGTAAAATGTACTATATTACATGCACATTTTTGCGCACGGGTAAGCAAAACGATCATTTTTATATTGATGAATCAATTAAATAATTTCTTATATGCCTCATGTATATACAAGTCAGATGGCTCAGCGGTAGAGAAAGCGGATCGCGTTCAGAAGGGTTGCAAGTTAAATTTACGGTTGGGGATTAATTTAAGCCATCATCATCCCTCTGGGGTTAATAAAAATAAGCACCACTTTGTGGGCAAGTCAACAGTGGTTGTCCTATGAATAAATGTGCCCCTTGACGAAGGAATGTCGAAGTTTCCCCACCGTCCCAGGGTTGTAAATGAAGAAACATTTTCATTTTTATCAGAAAATCTATTTAACAATAATATAAATTCAAGACATAATTACAAAAATGAGCTATTCCAGGCCTGAGCTCCAGAAAATATTTCCCTGCCATAGCAGTGGGGGGGGGGGGGGGGATGGGTTGGGGGACGGTTGGGAGGTGGGGGGGGGCTTAGTGAGCCCTTGGAAAATATTTCACGACAAATTAAGCCGTGCGTTTATATGATACGCGGCCGTAAACATTTGCAGAGCCTGTCGCTCTGCAACTACTGAAGGCTGCGCAATGCGCTGCGTTGCTGAATTACATCAGCATCCCAAAAGCAGGCAGGCGGGGGATGCCAAAACTCTACACCCACTCAGAGGAGACGGAGATGCTTTAAAGTGTACTGCTCCGCCGGGAACCGGTTCCCGCGTGTGGCAAGTTTAATAGTTGAAGCCACACGAGTGCATAGTCGTGACAGCAATTACACAGCAGTCAGCACTCTGAACCTCACCAAGCACACTGAAAACAGAGGAGGAGGAGGTGGCGGAGGCACTGCGGGGCCGGATATGAAAAGCATCGGGAGCAAAAACGAAAAGACGACTAGTGAAGAAGTGAGCTAGTGAGGGAAGTGACCTGCTCTGCGTGAGCGCGGGACCTTCGCCAGTTTGATGGCAGTGTCTAATAGCGCCATTGGCGGACGCAATTTCTAAAAAAAAGGATTTCATGGGTTTCATCTATCGCTCATCTATTTCTTGACAACGTTTGTAATGAAAAACATTCTGGCAGTATGCCGTCAAATATATATTTTAGGTACAGGCAATTGTGGCAGGATCTGATGGAATCATAATTGGAAACTGGGGGAAAAAAACGCATCTATTTAACCTGCCACGGTGATAATTAAACTTTCAATTGCATCGCAAAGTAGATGGAACAAAACCATTTACATTCGCCGGCCTATCTTCTCTCACCACCTGTCCGCATGCATTTAAGTTTTTACTCGTTGTGCAAAAGATGTCACTTCACCTTACACACAAAAATGGGATTCTCAAATAAATGGGAAGCTGCGTGAAATATAATTTGCACGTGGCAGATACGCCTATATATATAGCCATTCATTATCCTTATCCATACCAAAAAAACACACATTCCGGCAGTATGCCGTCAAATTTCATACAAACTTGTACTCCCACTCCGCGCTTCCAATTTAAATACACCATTTGTAAAATGTACCGTACGTTTTCAAACATGGTAACCACAGTAAGTGGACGGTAATACTTGTCACACTCATTACACACAAAGCGCTTGCCTCAAATGAACCATAATACCTTGATCTCGTCAAGGGGCTTAAACCATCATCACACGAACTCCGGTGGTCATCCTTGAAACAGCGGCGGCGGCTTTTGGGAAACCATCAAACAAAGATGGTCACCGCATCGCGCACTTTCAGATGTGCTTCTGCGGCCATTTGGAACGCTCTTCCTTCTGATATTAGAAAACCACTGAAGCTATGCACTTTTAAATCTTGATTGAAAACGAATTCATTTAGAACTGCTTTTGTGTTTAATTTGTTGTTCTTCCCCCGCATCTCCTATTAACACGGTTGACTAGGTATGGTGCGAAGGAAGTTCAACATACATGCATACATGTGTCACTCATCATATGGAAATAAAACGAGTGCAGCCTGGTAAAACAAAAAAACAAGAGAAAAATAATGGTCGTATGCATTATACACTGGAGTGGTATAATGCATGATGGGAGGACCAATGGCTTCGGTCACAATCGCGCCTTTCAGAACCTTCGGCGGAGTAGGTTTCGGTGCAGCGTTGTGCATTTTCCGCACTCCAGAATAAGCACTCCGAGGCTTTAAAGGTAAAGAAGCCATTGAAGATTGAGTTATTATTCGTCCCATGACCAAGATTAAACCGAGGGCACGGACGGCGCCGCACTGCCAACACGCTTGCTCGCATGTGGCCCACAAGAGAGCGTGGGAGGATTCGCCCGAATAAAAGATTCATTCCGTGGGTTCATGCAAATTTGATCAACATTGAAAAGTACTTGCCGTGAAAAACCCTTCAGCGCACGAGCGTGGCGCGTCTCGGAAAGAGGCAAGGTGACCTAGTTTCAGATGCGATTGTCACCGGCGCGAGCACGCGTGCAATTTAATGGAATCATTTAGAAGATTCTTCAAAGATAATGAGCTTTGCTGTTGAACAAAGCGCTGCTTTATGAGATGGACAAAGACAGCTACTTCAAAAGTCCTCTGATCTTCCGTAAGCAGCTTTACACTGGGAGCTCTCAGATGTGCACGATTTCAAAAGGAAATATCTGCTGCGAGCGAAAGTCAAATACAATAGCCTGAGCTCTTGAAAAGGAATATTGATTATTCTTATTATGAAGATGCCCCACGATCGGGTAGGACAAAACGAAAACAGTCTCCCAAAGATGTCTTGTGAGCACGCAAAATCGCAGAGTTCATAACGGGACCTCTCTCGGCCAAAACGAATACCTCCCACGCCCGAGCTAACCCGCTGTCGGCAGTTCAGGTGTTTATTCATTGCATTTCACCCAGTCACTCAGCCACATGATATATTCTGCCGGGTGACAAACCTGCCCGGCCGTGTCCGATCACGGAAGCGTGCACAGTGCTTGGCATGGGCGACCCTCCACGCACAAATAAGTTTCCACGGGGCAGTGAATCAAAATCCATTGTTGCTCCGTGCGCCTCTATGCTTCCGAGTCTTTGTTCACCGACTTCGCTGAGCGGCACAGCCCAGCGCGGTGAAGCGTGCTCGGATTACAGCCATGGCCTCGCAAACGCGCGTGTAGGGGAGGCCACCATCCAGCAGTGGATTGGCAAAAAGCACCGCACGTGTAAAACGCATACGTACACGCATCGTGCGTGCATGCTCACGCATACGTATACACACGTACGCGGACAAGGGTTCCCTGAGACAGCGCGTCGCGTGTCATCCCAGCATGATGTCGAGTCGTGCTGCATGCGTTCGTGGCACCCATAACAAAAAAAAACGTGAATGCAATTTTGTCGGTGCGCGGGCACTTGTCTGTGGCTCGGCGCAGTGAGCCGTCTTTGTGCGGTAATTAATTCATCCCCAGTGGGAGCCCCGGTAGAGCGAGGGCAGCGATGAGAACATTTGGGCCAGGTGCCAGAGCAGCGATGGTGGGCGCGTGAAGATCCATTTATTTGTTATTCTCACACCAATTATTTTGATGCCAATTGCACGTAATTATCCGATAATCATACGTTTAGGCCGATGGGGTAAAAACTAAAACTTAAAAACTCGACTCGAACAAATAAACAATACAAACGACATGGGCAATATGAGACAGTGAAAACGAATCGATACTTGAATAGATTTGCAATCCCGAATTGCGGCAATGCATAGAATTAGCCGCGAGCGGCGGGTGGGATGTTTGAATCATCACTTCTGGACAGAGTGGATGAGGTCTCCTGAACAGGGGATCCCATACCCTACGGCATATTCGGCGGTGTTTTTTTTTGCTTGTGCAGGAGGGAGCAACCCTTATACTCACGTCATGTTGGGAGAGAACGTCAGCAGGAGGTTGTAGATGTGTGAGAAAAAGAAGAGGAGCATGATGGAGGTGAAAAACATGACCATCCAGGTGCCCCGGTCTTTATGGAACATCTTCAGCCTCAGCATGTTGCCTGGGCGGGCAAGGAGACAAGAGAGGTGGTCATTTCCCGTCGCACGCACCCTCACTTTGCCAGCCACCCCCGACAGCGCCGCGAAGAATGAAATCAGAATCAGAATCCGATGAGCCATGAAGCTGGTTTTCAGAGATGTCCAGTAGGGGCGGGTAAGAACGTTACAACAACAAACAGTGCAAAAAAACCATGATGGTAGTGTGAAGTACAAGAAAGGCAAACAAAGCACCCGAAACGAATACAAACAAAACTCAACCATCCCCATTCTATCAGGCAAAGCCCACTTAGGTATTAACTTATTTTTCAGAAGCCACCTGGCCACGAATGATAGCTCAACAACCACAAAGTGGCCCATTATTTGGACATTTATGGCACCAAAATAATCTCAATGCACGTTTCCAAATGTGGAGGGGGAAAACCGGAAGACCTGGAGAAAACAAAAATCAACAAGACCACGAAACAAAACCGAGCAAAAGATTTGGATGCCGGTTTAGCTCCGGGGACGGTGGGGGGAGTGGGGTGATGGTGGGGGTGGGCACCGGATTAATCAAAACAATATCGGGGTGCATCAATTACCAGCTTTAATTTAAACCCTAATTAACGTAATGAAATATTGCTCTGGAAAAGAAAAAAAAACGTCACTTGAAATTTCTATTAACACCCACCGCTCCATCTCTGTACCTCATCTCTTGTTTTCTCGTGACACTGACATCTCTGTTTTTGTTTACATTCCTCCTCTCGTGCGTCCCTACATCTGTATCTCGTCGATATTTCTTCTGCCAACCGACTAGGATTTCATGAATCGAAAGAAATTCTGCCGAGAGCCCCCGGGGGGGCAGCAACACCACCGATGAAACTCAGCCACGGCGGTGGTCTCTCCAGACGGTGAGCCCGCGACAACGCGAGTTGCCGACATCCAGAGAAGGCGGCACTTGGCAGGCTTCTGCTGAAGGGTGTGCCAAAAAGCCAGGACGCATTGGGTTATTTCATTTATTTTAACAAACCGACTTCCATTGCACTATTGCACGCGTTTAATGCACGCATGAATTATAGGCTTTAGACGTCAAAATTAACGTGGGCTTTTTGTTTAAGATCACATCTTTGAACATTCATCAATCATGTTGCTATCTCAATTCATTGATTCGGGATTCTTGGTCAAGTTTTCTCAGCGACAGACTCGACGTGATCACAAGGGAAGAATAAAAATGGATATTAATGATAACAGATAAAATATTAACTTATAGAATAAACAATGGAAATGATTTCATGCCAGTGTTAAAATATATATGAAATAACCCTACGTATCCTGACTTTTAGGCCACCCTGTATATTTTTAGTAATTGCATCCCTCATAAATGCTCAACAATTCAGAGTAAATAATGATCTGTGCCTGAAGCACAGGTGGAGACAAAGCTCAATTCGATATGTTAATTTGCATTCAAGGTTGCAAACACCATCTGCTTCCCATTACATAAACGCGTTGCTTTAAAATTGCACACATTTAATGCCGAATGCTCCGTCAATTAATATCGAGCAGCATGGCTGCTGTCAAGATAACATACAAAAGCACACTTCAAACGAAGGTACCCTAACATGTGCAGGTACAGCATTTTTGTGTAAATCCACTGCTGGATGAGCCCCCCCCCCCCCCCACACACACACACACACTGTTATGGGGGTTATTTGACCATACTTCCCCCATGCTGTTCAGTGCTGGTTGCTTAAGGCAGAGGGAGCACAAATGTTGGAGCATAGTACAATACTCCGCTGGATTTTTTCTGCACTGCCCTCTCTTGACCCGAGTAGCCCGACAGGAACCTGCGACAGCTTTTTTTTTGTTATCATGCGTGGTGGTCGCTCGTCGGAGCAACGGAGGAGGCTCAACCGGCGCAACAGCTTCCGCGGCCCCACGAAATTGGGTGAATCTGGGGCGACTTGATCTCAAGGTCCAAGATGTTGACGGCCATCACACGGCAACCCCCATTTCAGATGAAGCCCTTTAAAAAAAAATAAGGCAGCTGAACGCGAGGGCGTGGAAAAAAGGAAAACCACCACCAAAGAAATAACACGCACATCGGAAATTAGCATTTTTCAGTTCTGAGATACCGAACCGGGTATTCAGTTCTCACTCTTGGAAATGCTCGGCGCTAACGAACAATTGTTTTGCCATCGCGCGTTCTGACACGGCAGATGTGCTTGTCAAATGGCGCTTAAATGAGAACCGCGGGGAAGGGAATGCGCGTAATTGCTTTATACATCATTGTTAGGGAAATGTCAGTCGCCCCTGCGGACAAATTGGCTGATCATTGCCGCCACCTTCCGGGGGAAGTACACGCAACACTTTTTTTTTCTATTCTTGGTTCTGTTGCTTGTGTTGCAGTCGAAAAGTTGTGAGAATTTTATTGTTTTATATATTTTTTAATTATTTTATTGTTTCCCTTCTACGCGACTTTACCGACAGAACCAAGAATATAAATCCCTGCAGTCACGAAAGCTTTAAATAAAAAAAACTTTTTTTGTGTCTTATCTTATATTTATACAGTGCCTTTATCCAAGGCGCTTTACACGGGTTACGAGTGGTACAATGAGGGTCGCTAAGGGTGATATGGTGAATAGGGATGGGGTATGGGGAGGGAGGTTTAGTGGGATGGAGGGAAGGATGGGCCAGGGAGAAGAGGTGGGCCTTGAGGGAGGAGCGGAAACGAGACAGGGAGGGTGCTTCTGCCTTAATGTGGAGGGGATGTTTGTTCCAATGCAAGGGGGCATGTAGGGAAAAGGAGCGGAAATGGTGGATTGTGCACAAGGAGAGGGGGGAATGGTGAGGAGTAGGAGGAGAGATTGAGAGCGGAGCGGAGTGGGCCGGAGGGGACATAAAACGAGACAAGAAAAGCGAGGCACGGTGGTGCGATGAGTTCTCCAATACGTGCCTAAAGGGTCCAGCAGCCACCGCAAGCGAATGCCTGACCGGCGCAAGAGGAATGTGATGTCCCAATTAAGGGGTTATAATATATAGAAGACTATTCTTTGAATTTGTCACGCTATCTATGGGACCTTTAATGCCAGTATAAAAATGATGAAAAGGGTGGAATAGGCTTTACCCTTTCTGGCAAAGGCAGTAACTGCTCAACCCGAGCTATTAATGCTTTGAGACTTGCAATGCCTTTATACTTACTGTTCGCCTATTGGCATTCTCTGGCCTAACACTGGTGAGACAAGGCCATACAGAAGGCTGTATCTGGGTGTAGGCCAATCAGTTTCAAAGACAATGCATATATTATCAGAGCATATTCTATGGTATTTTCGGTAAAGTCACGTAGATAGAAAAATAATAATAATAAAATAACAAAAATGAACTGATGACAACCGCTTGTGTTGCGATCGAAACGTCGCGATATTTTTATTATTTTTATTAACTTTATTTTAATTTTTATTATTTTCAAGTTATTCTTTTTTCTATCTACATGACTTTACTGAAAGAAGCATAGAATATGAATTACTGCAGTCACAAAAGTTTTAAGTAAACATTTATCAGAGCATGTTTGTTTGCATGTTTTGACACAAATGTGTGGTTAATGCAGACTTAATGCCTGCAATACGTAATACATTTTTTGTTTGAACATCTTCACACCTCCTGTTTTATTGCTAGAAGGGGTAAAGCCGATTTATCTTGTTTGTCATGGTGATTTTTTTAAGGAATTGTTTTATTAGTGGTATGGCAGTGATCGCTTATACAGCATGGGCCAGGAAAACTAAAATAAGCCAAATAAATGATGATAAAAATACAAGCATGGGGAAATAAATCATGAATGTATATTATATTTTTCTAAGTTGCCAATTCACTCTTGCAAGGTCATTAAACATAAAAAAACGTGCATCACATTACAAGGAATAGACGTAAAATTGGATTAGTATGATGCATTTAACTGTTTCATTTATCAAAAGTTTTTCGAATCTCAAAATCCACATGTTGGATCTCAACATATCAAGGAATGCGAAGCAGTGTTGAGCAAGTGCTTAGCTGGATAACTAACAGGGCTTGCCAGGTGTTGTAGGTGTGGGACTGCGAGGAGGCTCAGAGATATGAGTGTGGACTGTCATCCCCCTCATATGCAGCATGCCATGGTGGCGAGATGTTAACTACCTCACCTGGTATACAGGGGGTCGTGGGTTCGATCCTAACCATAACGCCCCGTGGATTTTTCTCCGGGTCCTCCGGTTTCTCCCTCCGCATTTCGAAACATGTGTTTTTTTTAGTTTTTGGCTACTATAAATGTTCACGTGATAAGCCGCCACTGCGGTGAGCTATCATTTGTGGGCAGATCGTTCCTGTGGTGTCCTCCTACATGAAGCCAAACGGCTCATTCATGGAATTGGCCAAACATTCCAACGCAAGGCCCTCCAGAAAGCGAATCTTAAGACTCAATGGGTCCTTCCTGGATCATTAATTAGCATTATCATTATTATTGTCACTACTACTTCACAGTCCAAATAATGACAGTGAAATCTCTTCAGTAAAAGTTGGCAGTTTGCAATTTAAGAAGAACTCGGCACCATTCCGTAGGCTTCGACTATTGTATTCATGCCATTTCAAATGTAAACAATATTGATGTGTCTGCTGTGAGCCAGTCAGGTCTATGAAAATATGTAGTTCACATTATATGCAAATCCTCATTTACCAAAAAAATATATAGGAGAGCACTGAAAACTGATTTTGTCAGAGATTTCAGTGTTGCCTTCAGCACCACTTAGCAAAACCATCCCGCATCGTTTACCCAGAATGCAAATGTGAAATGCGGCAATTGCATCTAATTAAATGATGAATAATTGTTTTAATGAAACACTGCATTACATACAGAGGCTATATTTTATTCACGCGTTATTTAAAGTGTCATATTTTCCATGTTTTATTTAGCACTCCATAATGAAAAGTGCACAGTTCATACATTCACCGTATTTATAAATTAACAACAAAGGTTACCGTATTCTCCGGATTATGACGTACTTTTTTTCACGGTATTTTAAATAAAAAACGTTGGGGGTGCATCTTATAATCCTGTAGGTGTGTGTGTATGTTACCAGATTTGTGGGAGAGCGGTGGTGTAGTGCCTCGCGCACTGCACTATAAACATGGCAAAACGAGTTTGATTCCCACTCACGGACCAACACCAGCGACGATTATGACCTGGTCCTGGGCCTCCCCTAGGTCGGTTCAGCATCAAATGAGTTCCTGGTGCGGTGTGTAAACATCGCCACTGGAGAGACAAAGGCGGTTGGGCACGGTGCCGGCCATCCACCCTCTCGTGTGCCGTGCCGGCCTTCACATGTGCTCGCTAACAGCACTTGCCCCTCCAGTCTCTTAAGGCTATAAGGAGGATCGTTGTTTTCATTACCAGATTTGTATAGCTTTATTGACACCGGGCACATATTGTGGGTGCGTCTTATTTTCCGGAGGGTCTTATAAACCACAGTATGCCCTGGTTTATGCCGATATCCATCAACAATGTTTAAGCCTGTCTGCTAATCTCAACGAAATGGGTTCAGATTTTCTGAGCAAACAAACAAGTGTGAATTTCATGAGCTGCGAGTCACAATCCATTTCATTTTACAGCTGCAATGTGCAGAATGATTATCAAAAAAACACGTTTTAAAACACATACCACGGCTTACCCTGTAACAGTTTCATTTTATCCACGTTTCCAAGGGGATTCCTTGAAACGTTAACTTAAGAGGTAATTCAATGCCCCTCAAACCTTTGCCCAGGGCAGAGTGGTATGGGAGAAAGACACACTCTGTCGCCACACTCTGCAAGCCGACAATCAACTTCCACCCACTGGCACCTTGCTCCTCCAACCAATATTGTACTCACTGCCACGGCACACACATCGCGGGGTGCTGGTCTGTATCGAAATTCCTCTCTCCAAAAAAAAGGTTATTTAAAGAAAATTGCCAGGACGGTGAAGTAGGGTCAAATAACTCGGAAGGCCCGTAACGGCGTGGCGAGGCCCTCATCCAGCAGCGGATTGACAAACGGGCACTACACGTACATCATCAGGATGCTATTGTAAAAAAAAACATGCACAAAGCAGAGTACACGATTCCAAGAATGGCTGTCAAACAGGATTCATTCTCTTTTGCAAAGTGGTTCGTTCAGTGACGCTTCCGTGGCGAAATGGTGACCACCACTGGACTTGCCATCCAGAGGTGGTGGTTGCGATCTTCCGGAGCGGCAGTTGAAACAACGGCGCAGGTTTCTAAACCCCACCCACCCCCCTTACCCCACCCCGCCTCTTGTCTGCCCAGCGGTATAAAAGGATACACCGGCAGTTAGTCAATCGGCAGAGTGGCAAGGCGATTCACTGACTCCCACCTCTTCCAAGACGTTCGTCAAGCATCACACAGTCGGCCAAATAATCTCTAGACGAGCTCCCTAGCTCTCACTGCTGACGGAAGCAATTCCGGAAGCAATTTCGCCAGCAGTGGCACGAGCAGGCGGTTGCAGCGCTGCACCTTTAACCCACTTTTCTGTTGACTCCAATACGTTGAGCTACTTCTTAATGGAAACCCATTAGCTGCCAATGTAACCATAGAAACTTGCATGCCACGGCTGTCACGGCCAAAAGAACTGCAGGAGTGTTTCTTTTTTTTATGACCAATTTCATCTCAATTGCACTTTTGGAACTTTCAAAGCCATCAGAGTCCCACGCGGCACACCGGAGAATGGACCCCCCCCACCCCGCACCTGACACCCGTAGAGATTTTTTTTCGTGCGGTCACCGTTGACCGTGCCGAGACCATTAACTCTCTCGACTTGACAACTGGGTTTTAATCACGGGTGGCTGCCCAGATTCGATCGCCGGATCTCAGCGGGGGGGGGGGGGGGGGGGGGGGGAGTCGGGGGGGCGGGGCGGGGGGGGGGGTGTCTGGCATAATGCTCTCACATCTCACATCGGCAGAGTATAATCCCCGGCGAGCCACTCGGCCAAACTCGACAATTTGAATTTAGAGCGGCTGACGCAACAAAATCTTGAACCTTCCTTTTATGCACCGCCGTCCGACTTGTTTAGGTCCCTAACAGCATTAGCCCCAATTGTCCCACCTCGTTGCCCTTCCACCTCCTGTCCTGATTGTCACCCGTCCCGTTATACCGGTTTCCCCGGTTGCATAAGTTAAAGATGTCATTACCTCAATCGTTACGCATTACGGTACAATTTGCCGTCCGTGTGGGGCCAGGCTGTCTGTGTCACACGCCACTGCTCACTCAGCCCATTAATGATCGAGGCTCCCTCATAGTCAACCAGGAGATGAAATAAACCGATCGAGACACGTGAAAAACATCGCCTCTCTTGCAAGGGCGACCTCGGTTGCATCATCTCTCTTTGACTACACGATATTTGAAAAAAAAAAACATTTTGAGTACACAATCGTTTAAAAGAAATCAGTTTGCCCAACGTGCATTCGCTGTTTCTTTTTATTGTCGATTTTTGCCGTAATGTTTGTACGACTGTCCCCCTGCACAGCATCTTGGCGATGCATTTAGTATTCTGACACTGCAAGGTAACTGTGCAGCCCTGTCATTGCTTATTCATGCCACTGATGACGAAAGGGCCTCCACTCGAGAGAAAACGCCTCTTGAGGGTATCTTGGTCTACTCTTCCACACTCGTCAGACATCTTTGAAGAGGTGGTAGTAGCCACACGTCATCTAGACCTACCGTGTACCCAATTATCCTTCTGGTAGGACAGAAGGGACGGGCGGGGGGGCGTGTTTAAGAAATGTAAGAACCTTGCACCGATGTTTCAACTGCCGCACCCGGAGGTCAAATCGAACCGGCGACCTCTGCATTGCAAGTCCGGCCCGCTAACCGTTAAACACCACTAGGGCATCACCGCAGGGAAAACCTTCGCGAAAGCCACACATACGACGGGACCAGCGGACGACCTACCGAACAGCGCCTGGTGGATGATGAACTTTCCCACGAGCATGCCGCCCGCGATGCCGCAGAGCCACGTGCACACCTTGAGCACGCTCCACCACCCGCCCGGGTACTTGTTGACCACGAGGGAGAAGCAGTTCCCCACCACCGCCACGTTGGCCTCGGTGCGGCTGTGCGACACGGGGTCCTCGGCGAACATGAGGAAGTTGAGGAGTGTGACGAGGTAGGCGATGAAGAGGCGCAGCCACGGGTGCTGGAAGTAGTGGCGGAACAGCGCCAGGTGGCGCACAAAGCGGACCTGGCCCTGTCGGAAGAATTCACCCACAGGAGTCAGGAAGCCGACCACAGAATGTTTTTAGAAGTGGTCTGGTGGCTCGGGGGTCAGGGCGTTCAGCTGGCACCGCTGAGATCTCGGCGTCGCAATCTCAATTCGGGCAACCGCCTGTGGTGAAGATCGGTTTTCAAGCGTGTAGCGAATTGGTGGTCTCGGCCCGGTGACCAGGGACTGCATAGAAATAAATCGTCACGCTAAATTTGGATTTTCAGTTAATTTGGAAAAAAATCCAGATCCGAGATTTGAAAAATGTCAGTTTGTCCGTCATGTGGACAATCTCACAGCAGGAGTGTATGGGCAAGTGCAGCCAATCCCACGAAGAATGCGTTCTGCAGCCATTTCCTGGAGCATGGGGCACATTGCTCTTCGAGATGTATTCATCGATTAAAAAAAATGAACAAAAGTCTGCAGGAACACTCTGGAGCAGATTCTATTCTGTGCTGAGCATTTGCCGCTGTAGAAAAAAACTTTCCCAAAATTCATCTGAAGATATGATTGAGTGTCTTTTTTACGTAAAGCTTGGGGAGGCCTTCATCCATCCAATAGTGGCTTGACCATGCCAGATAACCACGATGCTGATGGTAACTTTACGTGCTCCCTTAACAAGTCTCATCACGTGCACGAAGGGAAATAAGATAGATCGCTGGGAGTAGAATGTAAAATAAAGGTTAATGGCCATGCAAGGCTACTGTGGATTTATAGTTGATTGCAAATGATACGTGTAACAATAAATGTCAACAATCTATATTAGAATTTTAAACCAACCTCACATAAAATACTTGAGCATGATAATAAAATGAAATTAATATAAACAACACAGCATCTAAAATATAGAAAAATAATCTCATCATCTGTATACCAAAATTGCAACCCTTTTTATTTAAAAATTGCTTCATGCCTTGGATATAATAAGAAACACGACAAAAAATTAGTAATTTTAAGGGAGCCGACAGGCTAGTTATTGCTATGCTGGTGAAGTAATAAACCCGTCCGTCTGTCCGCCTGTCCATCTGTCAATCCGTTCAAGGACATTTATTTGTAACGCTTTTAACAAAACTACAACATTCATAAACCAATCACTCGAGGATTTACTACACTTTTCACCGATAATAATGAGTATATCTGTGGGTTTTAGACAGGATTGGCAAGTCAATGTTTTTTTTTCTTCCTAAAAGCATCTTTATATCTACAGAAAATGAATCACCAGCGCAATCAATGCTAAAAATGTTGTCTGTGAATATCAGCGCTCGCGTCAAATAGAATGGAGGTGTCCTTCCCCCAGGAAGCCCATGTCTTAGTGTTTCTGATAGATGCAGTTGCATTTCGACGCTGTAGCAAGTATGAATTATGCATGGGCATTTTTTATTATAGACATTTAATTCAAAGTGTTAGAAGCTGCTGTGGGGCTACGCAGCTCGCCTATACCAATGCCCAGATCTGTATAGTTTGGGGAAATGCAATAGTTTTTTAAAGCATTAATATAGAAAATAACATAACCAGCACGCTCAATACACAGGCACGTGTGTATGGATGTAAGCACGTGCCGCCAGCAAAATGGAGGATAACTTTGCCCAGGGGAACCATGTCTCCTTGCTTCTGTGAGAAGCACTTGCATAAAGACAGATTCTAGAGTGAGTCTAAATTGTGCGTGGTAACTTTTAACCACCGTACAGGCATTTATCTCTCAACGGTGCTGGGTGATGTGGGGCAGCAGTCGGCAGCGTGGCGAACTACGTCATGCTGATGTCCTCTCCCATATATGCTGCTTGCCTCCACAAACCCACGTTGGCCAGTGTGGTGAAGGGAGGTCAAACAACTCCATCGACCTGTACGGTGTGGGAAGGCCGTCATCCAGCAGTGGTAGTGACAAAAGAGCTGCACCATGTACATTCATCGAAATTGTATCACGTCAATGAACTCGCAGATTATGGCCAATGGGCAATACTAATAATGATGATGATGCAGTGGCAGGCAAGGAATGGAAGGCTTCTGACAGGAAGTCAACCGAGTCAAAATAGGAATACAATTCGCGTGCAGGTGCTGCGTGGATTCTTGTATTGCGAGTTTGTGATTGGTGGCAGTGGCTTGGGGAGGCGTTTATCCAGCAGTGGATTGGCCATGGCAGAGGATGATGATGATGATGACGATTATGAGCGAACCAGCGTGTCCGTTTAGTAATCGAACGCAGGATTCAAGAGAAACATTGCAAGATTTGAACGCTCTCCAAAAAGTAGCTTGTGTCGTAAAGCCAGGCCGAGACCGCGGTGTAAATAAAACCTCTCCCTCTCCCCCTCTCTCTCTCTCCTGATTGAGATGCTGCTCGCCTCCGCGGTAATAGCAGCCTTTTTGCGGTGGGAGACAAAATCAGATGGAAATGATCCACATCCACCATCCACAGCCGGCTAAGAGGATTACAACGGCACGGCAAGCGGCTAGCGGGCACACAGTGTCCATAGCGTTGGAAAAATCGTTAGCAGGGTCGCCGTACGAGGCGACCCAAGCCAAGGAGCGTGGAGCTCCAAGGAAATCCACGACGAAAGCCATCTAGTTGCGCCAGGAGCGGTGTGTGGATTCTGCTAATCCTTTCATGTGCGAGCGCGTTTGATTTCCAAACCACCGCCGTTGTCTGTAACGTGATTTGAAAAAAAAAAAGCTCCCGGTGAGCGAGACTGCTCGAGCGCAAATGTTGGCTCGTGTGCAATGTGAGTAAAGCCGTCACTGCCCCCGCCTCTCGACGTGCGAACGGTTACATTCCAGCGTGCCAACGGTATTCATGATAATTTTACGAATGTCGGGGGGGGGGGGGGGTGGAGGTAGGATAGGGTTAACAGTAGCTAGATCGTGTAGCCTGACGCCGACGGCCCTGCACTGGGTTGAAAAATGTCGCGTTGGCTCAAACGGCTGCCCATTCAATTTGTGCGTTTGACATTACACAAATGGGGGTGTCGATGCGAGCGCCGCCCGCGAACTGGCGTCGGATCGCTCGCTCGCGATGCGTGCTTTGGGGGGGGGGGGGGGGCTGCGGGCTCCCTCCGTTTTTGCCGGGTGCTCGCTGAGTAGTGATGGGCCCCGCATGCGCTGAAATAGGAAAGGCCACGGCAGCACCGTTGTGGATTCCCACAGGCACGACACGACCGAAGGAACAAAACAAAACGATTCTTGCTTTGAATCGAGAACCCCCCCCCCCCCCCCCGACATCTTGACAATTCGTTGAATCGTTGGAGGGATGAGTCTTGTGGCGCGTGTGGAATCCGTAACAGTGAGTGCACAACGCTATGAATCTGGCTGCCCGAGTTAAGATTCCCAACCAAAGATAAAATTGGTGGCGAGTGATACTTGAATGGGCTCTGAACACCCCCCCCTACCCCCACTTCACCAATCCGATGCTGACCAACATGGTGAGGTACGGTCAAACAAAGCCACATGACTTACATGGTGAGACATTCATCCAGTGCTGGATTGATAATAAAGTGTCACATTTACTTTACTACGGTTATGTGAACTCAAATGAAGTATTCTTTGCACTGCATGTTATGGTAGCCTTAACGATAACTTGAAGACATCACAAAAACAAAAGGAGACATGAAGGATATCTCCACATAGTCGTGGATGTAACTCTGACCCTCTGGCTGCGCACCTGAACACACACACACACAGCACAAAGATTTTCAACACTCCATAATAATAATTTCCCCTTAAATTGTATTCGGATTATGTTATCCGTGCCACGCCATGAGATGGAAACGTTTTCATTTGGACGTTTCACAGCTAGCAGGGCACCACCCTGTGTCAGAAAACGGCCCCAGTAGGTGAGCTCACATCGTAACTTCTGAAGCTACTTCCATAGATGCCTTCATGTGCCCTGCAAGTGTTTTTTTTTTACATGTCAAAAAAAACACATGTTGAATTCCCAGAGCTATACCTTTGCCAAATTAAGTTAAAAACTAAGTGTATAACCCCCCACCTCCACCTTCTTCCCCACCACCCCCGCTCCCTCTACTCCCTTACTTAAGTGTTTCTTCCCTCACCTTCCTCTCCCCTCGTGATAGTACATATGGACGCAGTGGCGGTACACCGGTGCAGCATAACACACCGGTCCTAATAAAACAGTCTAACGATGTCGCTACTGCGCCTTGAGTGAGCTGCAGACTCTCCGTCAGAAGTTGCCTTAGATCCAGCAGCTGCTTTACAATTCGAACGTGCGACACCACGAGTCATAATCTTTTGATGCCACCGTCCGCCAAGAAATGAGTCTGACAACGAATCGAGGAACCGTCGGACCACGTCTAGGGCACGGGGAGTCAAATCTGCCTTTGGAACACTGAGCAGCCAATCGTCACCAGGCTATACGGCAACAGACTGTGAAGCTTCGTGTTCAGTCGCTCGCAGCGTTCGCCTTCCGACTGCTTCGACGTCACGAGAACTGATTTAGACCGCACCACCCCGCAAGATTTTCTGACCGGGTTTGCGAATCACGGGAAAATAAATAATTACCGCGAAAAATTGTGCATAATTTTAATATCGTGCACCGGTGTCCCGCCAATACGTTTGTATACACCGCTCGCGGTCCCCACTCGGTGGGACAGCAAGCCTAATCTCTGCCCCCTTCTCTCAACTCAGGACCACAACTTTCAGCACTTATGTCCGTGCAGTTTCTGTAACTCCACCACCCCCCGTTCCTCCCCATATTTGTCGCGGTTCGTGCTCTGTACTGGACTCCTACTGAAATATATATATATTTTTAAAAACGAGATATATTCCAGTTGTTTTTTTGTGTACATTCATTGGGAATGGGATTGAGACTAAAAAGTCACTAACCTTGAGCACTTGGTATATTCAAAGGCAGCTGAAACCAGAATTCAAAGCCCCAGATTCTCAGTAGTGTCAGCTCAGTCCTCTGACCCTTGAGCCACCCAGTTGCATTATTATAAAATAATCAAATTCGAATGTCTGCGATTCCTAGCAAGAGC